GAGAGGGGACAGTTTGACATGAGGTTTCACAGGCTGAACCACAAATTCCCCCTCTCTATTCAGTCTCAGGCCGGTCCATTCAGACATGACGCCGCGACCCACTGCAGAGGGTCAAGCAAAACAAACGACAAACGCACTCAACAATTTGTTACCAGTTATACAGTAAGGTGCACCCACTGCAGAGGGTGTCGTGACCCACTTTTGGGTCGCGACCCACGAGTTGATAACCACTGGTCTATAGGATGTGGGGACGCCGAGAGACATAGGGGTCTATTCACAAAGCTGCCGAGGGCAGCCGAGTGAATGACCGATCAGAAGTGAAGTGAGCCGAACTCTGTTCAGCTATTCACTTCAGGCTGGTACATCGGCTTGCTTCGTGTTGGATGTAGGAGCCAGCCGGGATAGTGGTTCAGGTGAGCTATTTTAGTTCCCTAGACAAAACGAGCACTTAACCCTTGCAGTGCAGGGTTAGCCTCACTGCAAGGGTTAAGATTTTATTTTCCCAGAGTTCTGCTTTAAAGTATATTTCCACTTTTGCAGCCAAATTAGGATAACACTTAATTTATATTAGTTTTCATTCATATAGCATAACTTAAAAATAGATTGTTGCATACATTTTTCATGCTCTTTTCTGAAAACTCCAAAACTGAATTCTCCTCTTCTATGCAAGAGCTGAGCAGGTTAAAGGAGAACTACCGGGGTTAGGGCTTTCCCCCATAGCTCTCCTAAGGGTAACGGGAGGACACAAACTAGCGTCTTCCAGTCACCCAAAGCTCAGTATACCGCAAGCTGTAGCTTGCGGTATACTGAGTCTGAAAACTCCAAAACTGAATTCTCCTCTTCTATGCAAGAGCTGAGCAGGTTAAAGGAGAACTACCGGGGTTAGGGCTTTCCCCCATAGCTCTCCTAAGGGTAACGGGAGGACACAAACTAGCGTCTTCCAGTCACCCAAAGCTCAGTATACCGCAAGCTGTAGCTTGCGGTATACTGAGACGCCGCAGCTGAAACAGATCCTGACAATTATGTCTGGATCTACCCAGCTGTGTGAGTGACAGCTGGCTCTTCAGAGCCAGCTGTGCCCGCCCCCTCCCCCATCCGTTCCGCCAGTCAGCGCTGGAGGATTGGAGCGGGGAGGGGGGAATCCAGTGCCTCCCCTGTCACGGCTCTCTGCAGTGACAGGATCGAGAAGTGAGCGAGGGCCGGTATGTGTTTGCTCACTTCCTGATCTACTGAGCCGACCTGTGACAGTTTCATTGTCACAGGTTGGCTAGAACTATGAGGCTGAGTGAAAATCACTCACCTCATAGTTCTCCTTTAATGTTAACCATATTTAACCCTGTCTGTACTATGGTGGAAGAACAGTTGTAAACTAGATGTGAACACTGTCTGTCCTAACAAAGGGTTACAG